TGTCTTTTGTTATTACTTTTCTCACCTTCTATTATCCTACAGGTTTTTCTTTTCCTAACTGTGCTTCTTGGATAGTATCTATTCACAGTAATTAATTTTAAGGGTAAATTAGAGTCAGAAAAGATAAGAAAGAGTAAAATGGATAACAAAAAGTAAGTATGTTTGTACAATTGGAAAGTTTTTAAAATAGAAAAATATGACAGAAGCTTAGGACTTATTTCTGACCCAGTCTATGATATGGGGAAGGAAAACTGAAAAGTTAGGATGGAAAGTTATTCTTGGATCTCTAATAAAATTATCCTTGATGGAGCAATAGGAGTATTTTACAATGTAAATGGTGGCAGAAAAACTGGATGTCAACATGCTGAAGAATAAAAGTAGACCCTTATCTCACCACTTCATACAAAAAAAAAACTCAAATGAATTGAAAACTTAATTTTAAGACTCAAAACTATAAAACCAGTAGAAGAAAACATAGGGAAAACTCCACAGCATTAGTTTGGGAAATGAGTTTTGGATATGACACAAAAAGCATAGGCAATAAGCAGAAAAATGCACAAATTGGATTATATTAAAGTAAAAAGCTCTGTGCAGCCCAGGGAATAATCAACAGAGTGAACAAACAAGCCACAGGATGGGAAAACATATTTGTAAACTATGTTTGCATCTAATAACATATAAACATCTAAATTACATAAGGAACTTGAACAATTCAATAGCAAAAAAAGAATTTGATTTTAAAATGAAAAAAAGATCTGAACAGACATTTATCTAAACAAAAAAAGCATATGTCCAACAAGTATATGAAGAAAAAGCTCAATGTTATTAACCACCAGAGAAATGTAAATCAGAACCACAATAAGATATCAGTCCATACCTGCAATAATGGGTGCTGTTAATGAACAACAAAAAGAACAAAAGATACCAAAAGTAAGCAAGGATGTGGAGAACAGATAACCCCACACACAACTGGTGAGAATGTAAATTAGTGTGACATTGTTTCACTTAAGTGAAATAAGCCAGGTGCAAAAGGTAAATACCACATGATCTCACTTATATGTGGAATCTATAAAGTTGATCTCATATAAGTCTAGCATACAATGGTAGTACCATGAACTGGAGTTGTTAGTGGGTGGGAGCTGGGGGATATTGTTCAAAGTTACAAGGTTTCAGCTAGGAATACGTTCAAGAGATCTACTGTTAAGGCATGGTGGTGATAGTTAATAATATATTGCATTAAGAGAAGCTGGGCATAGTGTCTCAGGCCTGTATCCCCAGCCACTGAGGAGACAGAGATAAGAGAATTCAAGTTCAAGTCCAGTTCAGGCAAAAGTTAGCAAGACCCTATCTAAAACCAAGTTGGGTGTTGACACACATCTATAATACCAGCTATTCAGGAGACAGAGGTAGGAGGATCATGGTCCAAGCCTGGCCTGTGGAAAAGCGAGAGATTCTATACAGAAAATGAGGGCTGCATGTGGTGGCTCATGCCTGTAATCTCAGCTACTTGAGAGACAAAGATTGGAAGGGTAACGGTTTGGGACAAGAAGTCTGGGCGAGATATGAAATCCAAATCTGTGCACAGCAAAGCAGAGTACAGCTAGGATGTGAGAGACACTGGCCTTGAGGCCCTTGAGTGACTGTCCTGCACAGGCAATGGTCAGCACAATGTAAAAGATAACAATGTAGGCAAGCAGGATGAAAAGGACATTAGAGCACATGGCCAGCATGGTGATGCCCAGCCCAGAGAGTCTGTTGAAACACACATCAGAGCAGGCCAAGCAGGTCATGTCCTGGTGAAGACAGTAGGCACAGGAAAGTGCCCCAGTGTTTCAATAGGTGCAATAAGGGTGTAGCAGTGATAGCAGCACTCCACATGCCCAGGACAACCCCAGCCAATGCAAATGAGGTGAGGACCTCTGAGCACTGGTAGCTAGCACAGTGGGAATCCAAAGGCCACCGGGTGGTTCAGAGCCATGGCAAATGGCATTGCTGACTCCATGAAGGAGTAGTGGAGGAAGAGCTGCTACAGAACACAGGGCACCAGGCCCACCACCTGGGCATCAAACCACAGCACCCTCAACACTGAGGGAAGTGTGGTCATACACAGGCCAGATTACTTACTTGTTTTTCTTTCATTTCAAATGTGCCTCCTCAGAAATCCAGTTGGGGACTTGACAACTCATAAAGCATTTTGATTGGTGGAAATTAATTGCACAAAGAAGTTTCATTATGATATTTCCATATGTGCATATATTGTACTTTTATCAAATTCACACCTCTACTATGCTTTATTAATCTTCCCTCTCCCTCTTTTAAATAGTTTCTAAGGTTTTAATTACTCTATTTTCACATACACACACACAAACAAAACTGATTAAAACAACTTAAACAACTTCATTAAATCAGGGAAATTTATTAGAGCAACATTTCTTACACAGGCATTGAAAAAAGCACATGTGAGTAATCACTCCTTGAAAGAGAGGCAAAATAACACAGCCTGCTGTGATCAGGAAAAAAATTTCCAAAACTTAAATCAGAAAGAAAACAGAAATCAGTCGTCTGTGTATAACCCTAAGGGAAATCTCTCAGATTATGTGTTGGCTAAAAAAGATAAAGTTCTTTGCCATGGCACCTCCTAGAAAGACAGGTGAATCAAGATGAAGTCAAATATCTCCTTCCCTTTCACTGGATTTCAGAAACTCATTGAAATGGACAATGAAAGCAAACTTCTTACTTTTTATGGCCACAGAAGTTGCTGCTGACTCTCTGGGTGAAGAATGAAAGTGTTAGTGGGAGTGAAAAACAGTTTTCCCATGAAGCAGGGTGTTTTGATACAAGCACAAGTTTACCTGCTACAAAATAAGAGTCATTACTGTTACAGACCAAGGAGAATTGAAGAGAGACAGTGCAAAACTTTCAGAAGCTACTTTGAATGCTCTCAACTCTTGGTTATTGTGCAAAAAATGAGAGAAGGATATTCCTAGTTTAACAGCTGCTTCTGTACTTTGTCATCTGGGACCCAAATGAGCTAGAAGAATCAGAAATCTTTTAAATTCCTCTAAAGAAGATGACATCTTCCAGTATGTTATCAGAAAGTCCTTGAACAAAGAAGGCAAGCAACCTAGGACCAAAGCACCTAAGATTCAGCATCATGTTACTCCATTTCTCCTGAAACACAAATGCTAGCTTATTTCTCTAAAGGAACAACATGCTAAGAAAAATAAGGAAGAGTCTGCAGAATATGAGGAAGCCAAAGATTTTTCTTCAGGGACAGATTGTAAAGAGATGAAAGCTGTCTTCTCTGAGAGATTATACTTCTGAGTCCAGTTAAAAATAAGAATATTTAAGAGTAAGAAATATTCAGACCTCAATAAAATAAAATAAAAAAGATAAAGAAGAGGAGAATATGATGCTGGAACACAGGCAGGAAAACCTGCTTTTTAAAATTATTTAATTAGGATATAATAGTTGTACAGGGGTATATATTGTAATGTTTACATATGTGCTTAAACTATGTCTTAGTTGAATTTATTCCTTCCATTATTCTCCCTCTTTCCCCCTCCTGCCTTCTTAGCACAATTTCAGCTGTTTTCATTCTCCTATTTTCCTACATGAATACAAAATACATCTTCATATATACCCTCCTTCCCTTTTTCCTTGTGGCCATGCCCCTCCAGTGGAACTCACCCTCAGGAAAGATTTATTAGGAAAACCTGCTTTATGGAAGGCTATGACTATTTAAGGGCTAGGATTCTCTTTAATATGGAATTCATGGTTAAAAAAAAAAGAGCTGAGTTGATTAAACAGATTCATCAGGTTCTCTCTTGGATACTGATCAGGCAGGAAGTCTTGTAATTTAATTCTTCATGTCTAACTATCCTGATGGACACACATACACATACACAAACACACACTTCATTACAAATGTTACAATGGGAAATGCAGGTGCTGTGGAAACAAACAGATAAAGCACACTCTGCCCTGGATTTGGAAAATGGCCTATCCAAGGAAAGCAATCTTAAAGCTGAGACTCAATACAGATTGCAATTAGTCAATGATAAGCTGCTATGCCAATTTCAAGTTGACATCCTCTTGAGCAATGGAATTGTGTTAACATGTTTCCTTAGTAAGGAACTAACTAAGGTAGTTAGTACCTTAGTTAGTACCTTAGGTACTAGGTTAGTACCTTAAGGTACCTTAGGAAGGTACCTTAGGTACCTTAGGTACCTTCCTAACTAAGGTAGTTTCCTTAGTTGAGCTTTGTTATGTTACATGTCTTTGTGCAAGATCTCATAATTAAAAAGCATCTAGAGGTAAACACTGACTTCTGCTTAAGTTAAATTTGAGTTGTAGGAATCACTGATCCACAGGAAGGAAAAATCAGAGATGAAAAGAGTCCGAGATCAGGTCAAGGGCTTTACTAGATGAAGATCAGAAGGGAACAATTGCAGAAAGAAGTTAGGAGATTTCTACTTAAAAACCAGGCTTGGAAAGAGTAAGGAATTCCCGATGCATTCATGTGACTCAAGAGTTCAAAAGTACTGCTTAGTCAAAATAGAGATGGAAAGGGCCTGGGGCAGGTAGAGAAGATGGAAGCAGTCCCAAGGAGCCACAGAGAGAGGAGCATTTCCTGGGATGGATTTAGAGCCCCTGACATTTATTTGCTAGGATCCATTTTGGGTGCTTTGTGATTCTTAGTTCCATTTTAGTTTTTGTTTAGTTTCACTGAGTTTCGGTGTACATTTGTCATGATCTTTAATAAAGTCTCCCTCTGTGTAGTTTTTGATGGCATCCAAACTGCCAGATCTCAAATGTAGAAGGAGGTATTATAATTTAAGCAAAAGAAGCTCAGTATTCTTAAGTCAAAACTCAAGAAAGAAATTCGTTAATGCTTTGTGTAGGGCAGGAGAAAATCTTTGTGGCAATGCAGGGTATTAAACAGGCACTCAACACTATAGGTCTGTGGATTAGGAACCTTATTATGGGCGCTTAGTGACACATTTCATCCTTCATCCCAGGGCTCAGAACTGACCTTTCTAAGGCCTAGGAGTTTGATGATGGCACGGCGGATCTCCTTGGTCTTAATAGTATATATGATTGGGTTAAGCATGGGAGGAACAAAGAGGTAGATGTTGGCCATAAGAAGGTGGAAAGCTGGTGAGGCATGTTTCCCAAAGCGGTGCACCAAGGATAGTCCCATCATGGGCACAAAGAACACTAGCACAGCACAGAGATGTGAAGTACAAGTCTGGAAGGCTCGGAGCTGTTCCTCTGGGGAAGCTAGTCCTGCCACCGTGTGTAGGATGAATCCATAGGACAGTGCAATGAGCACCAGGTCCAGCATCACAGTGAACATCACCAGTGTCAGTCCATACAAGTTGTTGAAGGTGGTGTCTGTGCACGCCAGGTGTATCACTTCCTGGTGCAGGCAAAATGAATGAGAGAGGACTAGAGGTCCACAGTAGGGAAAGGTTTTCAGGAGGAGGACAATAGGAATAAGGGCCACAGGTCCCCGGAAGGTGACACATAGGCCTGCCCTTATCACTCGTTGGACAGTGATGATGACTGAATACCTCAAGGGATAGCAGATAGCCACAAATCTATCAAAGGACATGACAAGGAGCACTGAGGACTCCATAAAAGAAAATGAGTGAATGCAGAACATCTGGATTTGGCAGGCTCCAAAGTAAATACTATGGGACTTGAACCAAAAGATACCTATTGTGGTAGGCAAGGTGGACACTGACAGCCCCAGGTCAGTGAGGGCAAGCAAGGATAATAAATAGTACATGGGTGTGTGCAGATGAGGGTTGATATTAATAATTATCAGAATGAGAAAATTGCCAGAGATGGCCACCAGGTACATACAGAAAAAGGGGATAAAAATCCAGTGTTCAATGGCTTCCAAACCAGGAAATCCAGTGAGGTAGAACATGGGGCTAAAATGAGTAATGTTGGATAGGATGATTAATTGAGAACTGAGCAGATATTGGTCTGGCATTCCTCAGGGAGTGAGCTGAAAATAAATAGATACTTCTGATTATTCTTTCTTCAGCTTCACTGTAATTCACATCATAAGCAGCATTATGCATCACCTTTACTATCATCTATCCCATTATTATCAACGCTAGCATTCTCATTACCTTAATTGAAAGTTACTGTGATGAAAGTCACTCTCACCAGACTTCTTTCTCAGTCCTCTTTGTTGTGTTATTATCATTGTTCATCCCTTTAATATAGTTGTTCCTATCCTTGGCATATTTCTGAACATATTCTATTATTTCTCAAATCAAATCTATAACTCCAGAACTTCTCTTCACTTTTGACTTTAAGATTCATATCTAACAACATGCTGAGCATCTATATCTTGATGTTTCTTAATTACCTCAAAACCATTTTAAAAACTCATGTTCTCTTCTCTTCTATTCCCCAACTACCTTTTTTGTTATTTGTGTTGATGCTGTCAGTGGTTTAAGTCAAGATTAATTATTTTTAGTAGTGGGATAGAACTTAGTTTTTGTCATGCCAGACCAGCACTACTACTACTAAGCTACTTCCCCAGTTCTAAATTAAGTCTTATATTGAACTATATGTTACACCTCTCTCAATATCTAACCAATCCAATCAATCAACAAGTCCTAGGATTTATATCAATTGATTACCTTGAGTAATTGCCATCATCATGTTCACTGATAATATTCTAATTCAGACTACTATTACTTTTTCTGGGATTATTCCTACCACTCTTAGTTTGCACTTCTCTAATCTCTTGTACTATAACAAGAGATTTAATAAATTTATTAGACCAAATTTTACATGGAGTACAACAGGATTAAAATGACATGTGAGGTCCTGCCTTACTTTATCTCTGCTTATATTCTTTATCCTAAGCTATTCTGATTTTCTCCTTCATATTTATGGAGTCAATGACACTAATAATTCTCTTGTTTTTTCTCTCTCTCTTAATTCTTCTCCTTTTTCTAATATTCCTGTTCATTTACAAACATTTGTGTTTTCATTCTTCCTGAAATTAAAAGAATTCTTCCTGGAATAACTTTCACTTACTCTTTGTCTAGCTCACTTCTCAACTTATACATCATATTCTTCCAGAAGCCTTCTTGAACTGCTACTGTTTACATTGGATTCTCCTGCTGTGTGTTCTTATAGGTCATTATATTTTTAACACCATAGTACTTATTACACAGATTTTTTTTCTCTAAAATGTGAAATCTTTAAGAAGAGAATTGTCTCTGCTTTTAAATAAATTTTAACTATAGCTCTAGAGATTGGCTTCTAAAAACTACAACATCGTTTCAACCCTTAAATATTATTTCAGTGAGTTAATCAATATTTAACTTTTCCATTAATTTTATGTAAACTAGATTGACTCAGTAAATATATTGAACTTGTATTATCTGACAAGAATGACTCTCACGGGTACTGGGAATATATTCCAGGTTCAACTGGATTTGGATGTTTTGGTCAATAAAGCAATAAAAGACAAATCAAAGTTTTTGTGCCTGTGAAATTAGATCAGTGATGTGGTTAGTGCACTGTGGGGAATAATTTGAGAAAATAAAAGTGTGCTCTTGACATGTTGAAATAGATGCCTAGGAAATAGGCAGAAGTTGGAAAAGCAGTTAGAAATGTGGAGTTTAGAAATAAGTTTAAGAAGAGATAAAAATTTGAAAAGGTCAATAGATAGACTGGATGAGAATACCTATGAAATAAGCCTGAAAGAGAAGTTTCTAGTATTGATGGCTGGACAAATTCAAAATTTAGAAGTCAAGAAGAGAGTACAGTATAAAAACACTTGGGTGGATTGCCACTTAGATAGGAAAGAAACCAAGAGAATGTGTTTCATGAGAGAATCAATAAATCATCTGTAGTGTTGTAAGAGGTCTAACTAGTAAGGACCTAGAAAGAATGAGCATCTAAGCAATGTGAAAGCCTTTGCTGACTTGTGCTTTACTCAGTGCTCTTTCTCTTTATCTAATTTTTAATTGAGTTAATTCCTTTCTACCCTTTAAATATTTTTGTATCTATTCCTTTATCTTCATCTTTGCATTCATTGTCCTAGTTTCTAGTTATAGTCATTGTCCTTGTTCTTAGTTTTTTTCACATCATCCTTACTAAACCTTCTGCCATTTAATTTGCACACCTGCCCCTTATCTCTTAGTCTATCCCCTATTGCAGTCATGGGGTTATGTGGGAAACACTAACTCTATGAGCTCCTGCATTATTTTCAAGAGCTTCCCTTTCACCAGAATAGAGAGCTATGGTAATAGTTCCAATTTACTGAGGCCATACATGATACAGACACTACATAAAACTTTACATAGTTGTTGAAACTATAAATCCTTTTATTCATACTTCATGGAGGTGGAAACTGTAAGAAATGTAAATAACCTTCCAGAGGCCTCATGATGAGCGAATTAATATTAGAGATAGTAATTAAGTTCATATCTGCCTCATTCCACAGTATGTGGCCCTAATGAAATGCAGTTCTCTTTAATGTTCTATATCTAGCCGAGATGTTTTAGCATCTTCCCAAGCCCATCTTTTTTCTGCTCCAGTGAACATACCCCCATCATTCCTTATTTTCCATACATAGTGTTTTGTTTGTGCTCTTTTATATTTCTATTTTCTTAGCAAATAGTAAATAATTTGCTGACCATTTAAGACTTAGTATAGCTACTCTTTCTTATAAATTTATCTTGAATTCCTTCATAGAGTTTGATAAATTTTTTTATATTTATAAGATGCCATTTTATTCTAACAATTATTATTCATATAACTGGTTTTCACATTACTATACTACAAGTAAGCAGTGTCAAGGCAAATTTATATACCTGTGTAGCTAATGCATAATCTACTACTTAATCATAACTTAAATGTGGACATGGTAAACCTATGCACACAAACCGCTGAGATAAACTCTTCTCAAAACTCATGTAATGCATTCTATGTAACACTATTAAAGTATAAATACATGTACATATCTCATATTAAGTTTTTATAATTATAAAGAGAACATTTCTCTTTAGAGTATACTTATATATATTAATATAGCTATAAATGTGTATAAATATAAAATATATATTTATAAATTTATTCATATATTTTACAATGTATATACTATTTAGATAATCATTATGTATTATTTATATGTTATAAATATTATTTATAAATA